ACTCTTGCTGCTGCTGCTACTCTTGCTGCTGGCATCTTTGTTTCTCGCTTGCTTCACTTGATCATTCTTATCTTTATCCACAGCCTTTTTACGCTCACGAGAAGCAGCAGCTGATGAGGAAGAAGAGGAGACAGCTGAGGAGGCAGAAGATGAGCTGGAAGGAATTTTTTCACTGGGGTCTGTCCCAAGCTCTGTTAGCATAGTGTTTCCTTTCTTAGAAGGTTGCTTCTTCTGGTGTCGTGTTTTATTTGCAACCTGCAAAAACAGTTCAAAGAGAAGAGAGGGAATACTTCTGGTTCTGTATTTACAAAGTAAAACTTCTCTGGGTGTCAGACAAGATGCTCACATCAGCCTTTCAAGAAACATCATCCCTGCATCACTCACTGCAGAAGCTGCAGAAGTCCCTTAGATCCACTGAAATCTAGCCCAGCACAGATGACCAGCCCCAGCTAGATGCACCCCATAGGATCAGAACCTCCAGCTGTGGCACTGGCTGACAGGCCTGGCACTGTCACCTGTCAAACTAGCCTTGCTTTCCCATGCCAGCTTTCTACACTGAACTTCAAATTCTTGGCTTCATTTATGGGAAATATTCCCTCCTCCCATGCTCAAAGTCTTTTACCTTGAACACATTTTCAATGCCTAGAATCTTCTTCAGTTTAGCTTGGATGTCCTCATACAGAGATGACTCATCCTCTTCCTCAGACTCCGAGTTTACCACATGAATTATTTTGGAAGCTGCTCTGGATCCTGCCTGAACCTCCAGCTGAATTTTGTCAATGTCAGCATCTGTTTGAACTACACACCAGTTGCACACATTAGAAGGTTATACTACTTCAAATAGCACTGACAAACCTAAGATGACAAGGCCTGTGCTCAATATTGTACCTGGCATCAGGACTATTTTAGCTTCATGTTCTCCAATTAATCTATGCAAATATGTATTTTTTAGGAAACTGGCATCTCGTGACCTTCTGGAAAAGCAGAGCTGACAACCAAGACGATGCAGTTTGACGCAAAAGTCTCGTCTATGAGTTTTTCTTCCTGTGCCACGGTGGAGATCCTCTTGAGAGCTATAGGCATGTTTCCTTGGCATGCTGTCAGCTCCTTGCTGCATCAAGATGAGTATGTGAATACCACTGGGAGCATATCACAGGCAAGAGTAAAACTGCAGACGTGCATCATGGGGAGGATAAATATTACTATGTAAGCAAAAAGGAATAGGTTACCATTGTGAAACCTTCACTGGAAGTTCTCTCTGATGGTTTGAAAGATTCTTCCACAATATCTGATGAAGCATCTCCTGGGAGAATTGAGGTCTTCTTTTCAACACCTAGTTCTCCTATGTTTCTTGATACAGCAAAAGCCTTATGTCTGTTGAGATATGCACAGAATGGTGAATTATTCTTACCCCTCGTCTTCGGATTAAATGAAATACATCCCTGTCAGTATCATGTGACAGCACAGAGATACGTTGTTTGAACATAGGGATTGTATATGCAGCTATAAGTATAAATACTATTAAAGACAAATAAGAGTTCATGACAAACATCAGTTCCTTATTTCACAGGAAGTTTTCAAAATCTGGATAAATTTAAACAAATTTAAACAAAACATGAAAAGGCATTCATTTAAGAATAAAAATTAAGACCCCTAAAGGACAATAAAATAATAATTAAAAAAATAAAACCACAAAATAATAAACAAACTAAAATAAAAATTAAACTCCTAAATAATTTAGGTACCTTTTGACTTTTAATTCCCCTATTTCTCTTCCTTGCTCTTCATCCCAAAGATTCCGCTACACACTGAAAAGTCCCTCTGCCTATCTAGAAAACTCTGTAGGAGATCGGTGAATAGCGAACTTCGTAAGGTTTCAGCAGCACGAAGTATGCTGAAGTAATGCTACAGTACCTTGCAACCACTATCTCGGTTTCCTCATGGCACGGATTTGTTTCAATCTTAATATTTTTCAGTTTCATGTCTATCTTGGCATCAAACTTCATTGGCACTCTTGTCAGGACCTTGCCTTGAATTTCAACAGCATGTTGAAAGTATTCTGTGTTGACACCCATTGTTGCGACTGTGTGTACATATAAGCTGAAAGAGTGAAGTGGTCAGATGAGAGAAAGGTGCTTTCTTTAACATCTTTTATGAAAAGGTAGAACCTCCATCACATGTAAAGCCTTAGCAACCTGCCATACCTTGGGTTTATGTCAGAACGAATCTGCATGGTGGATTCAAGCAACTGAGAAGGTCTAAAATCTCCAGTTAAAGGTGGGGTCATCTTTCCATCAACTGCAAATGACAGAACATTTAAACATGGTAAAAGTGAAAGAAAGGATTTGAATTTAAGCAAGACACAGTTTTCAGGAAGAGGTAATATTTTTGTTAATACGACAAATATGGCTGGAACACAAGACAGACTTGGGGGTACATGAGAGATTTTACGAGTCTGAAAAATACTGAAAACATACAGAAAGCTTGTTCTGTAGGCAACGGTTCTGATGCAACATACTGAAAAGGGAAATAAAAATACAGTAAGAAAAAAAAGAGCTGACCCAAATTGAAAGTTTGTTAATTAGTATAACATTAAAATTTCAGAAACGCAAGGAGACAGAAGACAGAGTGAATGGTGGGCAACCAGGCTAAACAAACCCTGCTCTCCAATCTTTCCTCACATCATGTGAACATCTTTCTTGTACTGTGGACCCAAAAGCAGACATTGTACTCCAGATGCAGCCTCAGATGTGCTAAATAGAGGGGGAAAATAATTTTCATGCTAGCTCCGCTCTTGCTGTTGCAGCCAGTGATGCAGTTGGCCTTCATCACCACAAGAGCACACTGCTGATTCACTATACCAGCTTGTCCTCCAGGCCTCCCTGGCCCTTTTCTGCAAAGCTGCTTTCCTTCTGAGTGACACCCAGCCTACACACCTGCAGAGGTTACTCCATCCCAGGTGAAGGACTTTCCATTGCCCTTGTCAAATTTCATCACACTTCTGTCAGGCTATCCCCTCCAGCTTCTCAGGGTCCCCTGGGGTGGCAGCCTGACCCCCCAGTGCAGTGACTGCTCCCACCAATCCAGCATCATCATTGACACAGATTTGCTGAAGGTGCCTTCTCTTCCAAAGTTCAAATTGTTAAAAGAGAAGATGAACAAGTGCTAACGATGGAGGAATGTTTCTCATAACAATTAGACTTTCATCTGTTGACTGCTCTTGAAAATCAGCAGTCCAGACAGCATTCACTCACTTTGTAGCCCACCCATCCAAACCATACCTCTCCAACTTGGTTACAAGGATGTTATTTATTAAAAAAAAAAAAAAAATTAAACACACCCACAAAACAAGAGGCAGGGGTTCAAAGATGTTATGAAAACAAAGGGACAAAGGAAAAACCAAGAGCAGTGAAGAGTGGGCACATACAGACTTCTATAAAGAGCTTAAGTACACATACTACACCCTTCATTCCTTATGTGTGTCAGCAGAAGGAAGGGTCAGTTTTGCCTAAATCAAAAGTCTGATGCGTAACAAGCAGTATGATCACTGATTTAACTTCTTGATAAGTATTGGTACTTGCATATTTATTCTTTTAGAACAGAGCGCCCTGTCTCTTTTCACAAGCCCTCTTCTCTTCGTGCCTTCTCTGATGTTCCTGGTAGTTCTGTTTTGATTGTCTTCAATTTTCTTCTCTGTTTAAACCACCATTGAATCCTGCTTAGCTCGTGTGTGCATCTCCCAGGAGCCACGCCCTTCTGCCCATGTCTCTGTCAGCTACCCAAGCAGCTCTTGTTTTTTCTGGCCTTGAATGCTGTGACATTTCTCCCTCTCTGGTTTCCCAGGTTCTCACCTCACACTCTCTGTCTTCAATTGATTCAAAGATGACGCAGAAATCAGCTGTGCCCAGCTTCTCTTCAAACATTTTCAGTACCTCCCCCACACTACAAAAAATCGTTCTTTTTCCAACTTCCCGTTTTTCCACTTCTTTCTCCAGCCCCTCTTAGCCTGTGCCTCTCATCGCCTGCTCAGAGCTCGCAGAGCTGATCTCGTACTTCCCAGCTCACCGTTGACTGCCGCACGTGCCAGGGCAGTCGTGTATGACCCATACTCCAGCGGCAGACCGGTGCAGGTAGGAACGATGTATCGCAGCT